AGAGAGAGAGAGAGAGTCAGCTGAATTCCAGGCGGCACCACGGGTCCTGTCGCCTCCAGGCGCCACCTATCCCACGAGAATATATTTATCTCTACGCCTCTATCGCGCATGGTGCAGAGACGCCTCAGATCTGGACAGTCGTCGGCGCAAACCTTGCCCGACTCCACCCGCTGCAGAGAGCCCACCCGCCCGCTCGCCCCCTCTGCGCCTGCGCTCAAGCTCCCGCGCACGGCGCAATGTCCGCGGGTCCTCCGCGGGCTGCCGCGTTTCCCCCAAATACGCCCTTCCCCAGGGCGAGCTCGCCCATTTCGACTCCGCCGAGCGCGGCTGGTACCCGTCGAAGCTCAGGCACCGCGGCACGCCCGTCGGCCCCTTGCTGACGGATCGCCGGCTCCGCTGCCGCGTGGCCGTCAAAAGGGCCGCGGAGGAAGTCGGCTGCTGGCCACGGAGACTGTGAGTCGCCGGGGGACCGCTGCTCTGCCGCATTTCCCGCATCCAGCGGCAGGACTGACGGCAGTGAGTCCATGGTCGCTGCGCGCTCCGTGGAAGCTCGGCGCAAAACTCGTCCGTTGGAGGCTTGGGCTCCCCGCGGTCGTTCCGCGTCGTCCCCCTTTGGGCTGCGCCGCGGGGACCGCCCATGGCGGTGTCTGGCGTGGGAAACGGGAGAAGAGGCGGGACGAGCGCGAGCGAGAGACAGGGAAGCGAGGAGGGCGGATGAGACACGCCGATCACGACATGGAGACGAGACGACCTGAGCCAATACGCGACGCCGCGAGATGCGATGACACGAAACAAGCGGAGACAGAGCATACCTGGAGTGGAGTGGAGGTTTGTGTGAGAGTGGACCGCCATAGTGGCGATTCGCGTCAAGGCTCACAGGGAGGGTGGCGCCGCGAGAGAGCTATAAGGGAGCAGGATACTGGTTGACTCACAGAGAAGTACAGGGAACCCTAGAAAGGCAGTGAATGGGACGTGCTAGTCGTGTGCGGGCGGAGCAGACTTGGAAGGGTTGAATAGCGTGGTGTGGTGGTGGAGATGGGGCGAGGTGGGGCGAGGGAAGGGAATGGAGGTGGTGGTGTCGCCCGCCTCACTGGATGCCGCATGAATCCGATTGCTGGCGGCGACACCTCGCCTAGATTACACGCCACGTTGCGCCAGCCCTCACCTCAGCAAGGAGCAGCAATCGCATCTGTCGCACAAACTTGGTGTTTTCTAACCGAAGATGGAGGTTCGGGTCCACCGTCTCTGTTTCACTGGAATTCGACCTCAACTACAGTACAGCACAAAAGCCCGCGACAATGGTACGGGACGGGACCACTCCTAGCGAGGTAACGCTTTCATCTCTCGGGCAGTTTTGTTCTGGATCCGACCTTGAGCGCACTCCCCTTTGACTCGGACTCGACCCTTAACCCCGGTGGAGCCTGGCTGGTCTGGACGCCCAACCGCGCAGCCTTCTGTCGCACACTCGCAGACCCACTCGGCGACGGGGAAAAGGTCCCTTAGCGATCTGCCGAAGCAAGAATGGTACAGTACAGAGATCCAGCAGGTTTCCCTTCCGCTTTTTGTCGTTTCCACAGCACACGCTGCAGAAGGGACCCAGTCAACATGCTGCAGTTGAGGAAAATAATTATACACGCGGATATGCTTACAACGCATGTGTTTAGAAATTGCAAGTCCGTTCAATTAAATCCTTGATAATGCTGCCATGTACCGTACCTTACTTATGATGCCCCTAGTCAGCATGGATACTCTCCGACCAACAGCACCATTCTCACCACAGAAGTTTCCAGAGCACCCATCAACAGTTGCTGCTATGTCAGATGGTTGGCTACTTGGCTCACAAGGGATGACAGATCAAGAGGCTCATAGCATAACTATCAGAAATTCTGTACAACATTCCTTGGCAGGCGCAAGGAACAAAAACGCCGCTAAGGAAATCTACTCAAACGTCAAGTGCTGCGGCATTAACCAGTGTGGCATAAGCACCCCCCTGTGCCACGAGCTGGGCGTGTGTCCCCCTCTCTACAAGCGGCCGGCCGCCATCACCACGATCTGATCTGCTGCCTGCACCGTGCTCAGCCGATGCGCTATCACCAGCGTCGTGCGGCCCTGGGAAAGGGGGTAAAGGGAGAGAGGGCATGTGTGTGATGCATGGTTTCGGAACACGCACATCCAGGCCACTCAAAAAACAAGCACATGAGCCGTGGCTCTCAAACTCGCTGCATCCCTTGCCCCACCATCACCTAATACTCCCTCCCCTCACCTGCATGAGCCCCTCCAGTGCCTGCTGCACGAGTCGCTCCGACACGCTGTCGAGTGCACTCGTGGCCTCGTCCAGAATCAGAATCGGCGCGTCCTTCAGTATCGCTCGCGCTATTGCGAGACGCTGCCAGGGGAAAATGGGAGAGGGGAGAGGTGAATCGAGAAGCACAATTCAAGCACATGTATGTGCACGAGAGCATACAGTAGGAATCAGGTGCGCATGGGAGCAGATGGCATGGACTTGCAGGGAGGTTCGGGATGGGTGGGTGCAGGGTGTGTGGCACAAGGCAGGCAACACAATACCTCCCAGTAGTGCGAGCACAAGGCAATGAAAGCAAGTTTTTCCGTGCTGCAGGGACACGGCGGGTGAGAGCAGCAGCGTGGATGGGTGGGTGGCAGCTCACCTGCCTCTGGCCGCCGCTGAGCAGCCCACCCCTCTCCCCCACCATCGTGTCATACCCCTGCCATGCTCACAGCACGGGCGGGTGCGGGGGAGGAAAGGAGGGAGGGTGAGCGGAGGAGTGGCAGTGAGGGAGGTGGAGTTTTCTAAGAAGCACGCGTGGATGCGGGATGATATGGCGGACGATGGAGAGAAATGGTACAAAACAGCAACGAATGTGCGCAGTGTCATGCGCATGAGTGGGCATGGAAAGATACAGCATGGAATGGCAAGAGCAAGCATGGCATGGCAAGGAAAGAGCATGGCGCACCTGGGGCAGCTTCACTATGAACTCATGGGCGTTGCCGCCTTGGCAGCCCTGATGACGTCAGCCTCTGCCACGTCAGCGTCTGGGAGGCCATAGGCAATGTTGTCGCGCACGGACATGGCGAAGAGCACGGGCTCCTGGCTCACGAGGGAGACTGCGCGCGTCCACTGCGTGCGGTCGAATGATGCTATGTCCTCGCCCGCCAGTGATACCGTGCCCGCTACCGGCTGGTGCCACAGCCATGCACGCACACAAACACACAGGGGCAGTGAATGGGGGAGGGATGAGAAAGGCACGGAGAGAAAAAGGCGAGAGGAAAGGAGGAAAGGGAAGGAAACCAAAACGAGTCCGTGCTTTGCAGGCAGCAGCACATAACCAGGAGCAGCATGGTCTCTCTCCCTCTATCCACGGCATGTGCATGGAGCATGGGCCATGGCGGCACATGCAGGGAGGGAGGAGCTGTGATGTGACCCATGGCACCGCACCACATCGCAGCGCACCTCATAGAACCTGGAGAGCAGCTGCACGACGGTGGACTTGCCCGCGCCACTGCCGCCCACGAGCGCTGTGACAGTGCCACGTGGCAGCACGAGATTGATGCCCTTTATCACCTCCACTGCCGCCCGCTGCGGATACGCAAAGCGCACGTCTGTGGGCGAGGGAAGGAGGGAAGGGGGAGGACGTGGTTGAGGAGAGAGAGCAATTGGACAGGAGGAAGGAGAGCTGGAGGGGTGTGTGACACAGAGAGTGGAGGAACGGGGTTAGGGAAGCGACAATGAGAGTGGGGGTTGCATGCATGTATGAAGTGATGGTGATCAGCTGATAGCCGCGTGAAATCAGAGTGTTATTGAGACGACTCACAAACACTCTTATTTCACAGGGCATGGCAAAGTCAACCTACCTCTGAACTCAATGTCGCCCGTCCATGCCAGCTCACACGCCGACAACCCCTTCCCGCCCCCCACCACCGCTCCATTCCCTCTCTGCACCGCAATCAGCCCCTCCTTTTCCTCCGCTTCTCCCACCACCCCCACGGCCGCCGGCTCGGGGCAAGGGGTGGAGGGGGGAAGCGGCACGGAGAGGTCCGGGAGCGGTTCGGGGATGGAGAGGTTGGGTTCGGGGGGCGAGGCGGAGAGGAGGGCGTTGATGCGCGCCACTGCAGAGAGCGCGTTCTGCACGTCCGCCATGGTGTTCACCAGCCCCTGGATCTGTTGGGTTGGGGAGGGTTGACAGGGGGGAGGGGAAGGAGAAGGGTAGGTTCAGGCATGAATGGTGTAAAGGCGAGCAGGCATGTTGCAGCGAGGGCGTTCTGCACGTCCGCCATTGTGTTCACCAGTCCCTGGATCTGCGGACGGGGAGGGGGGGGGAAGGGGAGGGGGAAGGGGAAAGGGGGAAAGAAGGGGAGGGGGAAGGGGGAAGGGGGAAAGAAGGGGAGGGGCTGAGGGTGATGCGTGCAGAGAGCGCGCCCTGCACATCCGCCATTGTGCTCACGAGCCCCTGGATCCGCGGAAGGGGAGGGGAAGGGGGGGGGGGGGAGGGATGGTGGAAGGCATGGTGTGGTGCAAGCAACAGCATGCGGGCATGGATTCAAGGCCTGAATGGCTGTGACTGGAATGAGCAGCGTCTGGATATGTATGGAGTAAGTGTAAGGGGGAGGGAGAGGAGGGACGCTGGCATGCGCGGTGCCATAGCATGGCATGCAGACATAGAGGCATGAATTAGGGTTCCGAGCCGGTGGAGGGCGGCATGCAGTGCCTTTCACAGGCAGGGGCACACAAGCATGCATGCACGAGGCCAAGGGAGGGGGGCGGTGGAAGGGGGGGGATGTGCTGGGCAGGCAGTGCTTTGCAGAACAGGTGAGGGCAGGCAGTAGAACGACCTTGCGTCAAACACAAGAGACAGCTTGCAACGAGGATGGCAGGGGCTGGGAGGACGGAGGGGAGCAGAGGGGAGAGGAGGGGAGGGGGGGGGGGGTGGGGGAGAGGAGGGGAGGGGAGGGGCTTACAGCGAAGGTGAGGAGGAAGGTGTATCCCACGAACGCCAGCACCGTGCCCGCTGCCATCCCGCCCTGTGCCGCATGGGATGGGGTGGGGTGGGGTGGATTGGGTTGGGGTGGGATGGGTGCATGGGAGGGGAAGGGACGTATGGGATGGGTGGGTTGGGTTGCATGGGATGGCATTGGTTGCTGGGATGGGATGGATGGGGTGCATGGCATTGAAAGCGGTGCATGGGATGGGGCATGGGAAGAAGGGATGGTGTGGAATGATTCGATAAGAATGGATAGAGTGGTCAAGTGCGGTGCTGCAGAGCACCGACCAGCTCACACGCTTCAACTCCACCTCACTAATCCACTGCTGCTGCTCCACCCCGCACCCTCCCTCCGCTATTCCCCCCCCTCCAGACTCCCTCATCATCCCCGAAATGCACCCCCCTGCGTCCCCCTTCCCACCTCCCGTCTTCGCCTTCGCCTCATACCCCCGTGTGGCATGAGCAGTACGCACCATTTGGACCTTGTGCCCGCCCAGGATGTAGACACACATGAGGGAGATGTACACGCAGCCACGTGTCAGCGCCTCGTTGGTCGACTTGAGCACACTCAGCCGCGTGCCCGTCTCCCGCGCCTCTGCCACGTGGCCTGCGAACCGCCCCAGCTGCCGCGCCTCGCCTCCAAACGACCGTACCTGGGGGACAAAGAGAAGAGAAGGGTGAGGGTACGGGGTTTTGAAGGATTTGGAGAAGGGAGCGGGGGGGAATGAAAGAGGGGAGGAGAGGAAAGGAGTGGGCATACATGAAACCATGGACGACACGTGAATACGCCTGCTCGGTTGTGTTGTGTGAACTAGCGCCTGACCTGATTGAAACCCAGCTGCCTCCACGCACTCAGCACCTCAATAATCAGCGCGAGAAGCAGGCAGGGGGGACGAGAGGGGCACGGAGCTCACGGTGCGGATGGCTTGGAAGGTCTCGGTGGCGGAGTCGGTGATGCGCGCCTGGGTGGCGGTGCTGCGCGCGAACACGGGCAGCGTGCCGCGCTTGTAGATGCCCGCGATGAGCGAGATGCCCACCGCCAGCAGCGAAAACACCGGCGCTAGGTCCGGCGCTATGACGAACAGGATCGCCAGCGTCGACACCACCTGCCGGGTGTTACGGGGAGGGGCGGGGAGGAGTGGTGTGTGGGGGCGAGAGAAGGGGGTTGGCGATAGCATGGACTTGGAGGTATCAATGGTGGCGCGTGGCAGTGACGGGAGGGGGAGCATGGGGGTGCGCGTGTGGGATGTCGGTGACTGAGCTGGCGGAGGCATCGCTCGCTCTATGCGCATCTCTCTGCGCTCTCGCTTCTCTGCGCTCTCGCTTCGCTGCGCTCTCGCTTCTCTGCGCGTTCCTCTTTACCCGCGCTCTGGTTTCTCACCTCGCATATGGAGCGGAGGCCGCGGTCGCGCGTGACGTTGTCGGTGACGGCCTTGTCCATGAACGCCAGCTCCGACGACAGCACGCCGCTCAGCGCCGCCACCTTGTGCGCGTCGTAGAACGCCACCTGCGCCCACCGCGCGGTGCGCGGGGAGGATTGAAAGGGGGGAAGGGGAGCGGAGGGGATGCGGGGGACGAGGATAGCCGCAGGAGGGAATGATGACAAATAAGGCGACAATTTAAGAAAGAAAGGAGCTTTTGAGTTTCCATTTTCTGTTTTCGTGGCGACTCTGTTCTTGGTGAGCGCGGCGCACTTTAAATTGTTGATTTTTTTAACGTACCTTCTGCAGCAGCAGGCGGCGGAAGACGCGGACCCTGACGGCGGCCATGACGGACTCCCACACGGCGGAGAGCGACGACACGAACAGCAGCGTGGCCGCCGGCTCCAGCACGTAGATCGCCGCAATCGGTAGCAGCAGCTGCGCCAGCGGCACGGGCACGGGCGCCACGAGCGCCTGCACGAAGTTACCGTTGATGCGCGGCAGCACCACGTTGCACGTCGTCCCCGCGATGAGACCCACGGCGAGCCCCACCAGCCGCAGTTTGTGCCGCAGCACCAGACCAACCACGAGCTGCCACGTAATCACTGGCGACGCCGCCTGCTGTTCTTTCCGCGGCTCCTCTGCGCGTGAATCGCGCAAATCGTCCACCGCGGGTTCTTTCTCTTCGCAGCTAAACTCCTGCGCGCTACAATACCCGTCCTCCGCCTCCCCCTCGCACTCCTCTTCCTCCGCCACGACTAGCGACGCGGCCCCATTTACTTCGACAGCGGCTTGAGAAGCAAGCCGCCCTGGTCTTAATTTGGCACGGAATTGTGTAAGGTAAGGGAAACGAGAGCTCGGATCACGCCCTAAACAGGCACGTTGTCGTAGCCTCGCTGAAAACGCGTGCCTTTGCCTTTGCGTTGCATAAGTACTCACGGGGTTGTCCGTTACTAAGCTATGGTGTACAAATGCTCGTCTCGACTCAGCGCCACGACAGGAGCTCAGCGCAGACGCAAGAGCCGGCCGAGCAACAGCGCTGGTGACAGCCATGGCCCGAATCGTCCCAGTTTCGCGAGGTTGGCACACTACTGCAGCGCCAAAGCCAAGAAAAGGACCAGCTTTCCTATGACCTGGCTCAAGACTACACCTGGCGCGAATAAACGAGTATTTCCCTCGTAATAGTCTATACTCCTGCGTCAGTGGTCGCGAGGAAGAGCCGCTCGGGCGAAATGCGGCGGCGAAACTCAGTTCTGCTGGACGAGAAGGACCATATGGCGGAAAAGGTTCCTTATCGCGTGCTTATAGGTCAACTCTTGATACAACTCCGCCGTGGTACGTCGTGCACGGTGCAGAATGGACGAGAGAATCAGAGTTTCTCCTATAAAAAGTTTATGCCTGTGGTCCCTCTCGCGAGTTCGCAACTGTCTGGCGCGGGAGAAGACCTGGAGGTTTGTGGGGAGCAGGTGCGGTGCGGACAGCTTGGGCACTGCTTCTTGAATCCTGATTGGCCCTTGAGCGCCTCTTCGCCAGGGAGTGGACGCGAAGTACGCAGCGGCTGCGATTGTTGGCAGATTTGCAATTTGGTGCATGCAGCAGGAAGGGGATGGAGGCGTGGCGATGGTGGGGCAGACAGCGAGTATGGAGTGACGTGGGCGATCCGAGGTCGACAGCGTGGTGCAGCGTGACACCTTTTGGGGCTGGTATGGCCTTAGTGGCATGTGACGTGGCGCACAAGCACCTGCTCATCCACTCATGTGGTATACGCGAATTCAACAGATAGGGGATGGCGACGGTGACTCGACGAGTTTGCGAAGGCACTTTGTGATAGCACACGACGGCAAAAAATCCCGCAGCGAAAAAGTGGAAAAGCGTCAATGATACGACAACCCTCACATCTCAAAGCCCTACAGACATTCCCAAGGTCAGATGTTCAGTCATCCCCTACGCAAGCGCCAGCAGTTTGTCAGATGTAATCATCCATTAGGGGGTGTCCGAAGTGAAACGTCGACATCCGCTGACATCCGTTTGGGGATGTCGATGAATATCAGCCCTCGGATCGGGGATTCCGACCGTCAGGATTCGCCGACATCCGCTGACATCCATCGACGTTTCACTTCGGACACGCCCTTATCTCATCACTTATGATACGGTATGCGACACTTGCTCTCGTCGACGCTAAGCTTATTGCCACGCGACGTCGCCCTATCGTCGCCGTATCATTTATTGCCCTCAGTCGTCTTCATGCCAGTTCAGACGCGATCGTCCTTTCGCAGGACCTCGCCTCCAGAGTCCACGCAACCGCCATGCATCCCACCGCAAAAACCGCTCGCTGCCACGCGTCAAGCCACCAGCATCGACACCCCACTTGCTCGGCGTGCCTCTCTCGATGCCTATCGTCTCACATCGCCTCCGGTTTCCCGTAACTCGCGCTCCTCGATACGACAGCCAACTCGCTCAGCTCGGAGCGCCTCCAGCAGGGCACGCACGAGCTCTGCCGGACCGCTGAATCCGATTAGCGACATTGAGGATCTCGGGGGGGAGGTGCCACGTGGCGTGATGGGAGAAACACGTGACAGGGAGGGTGGGGAACTGGAGGCGCAAGAGTGGGTGCAGGCGAGTAGCGAGGAGGGGGGGTCTGATGAGTGCGAGGAGGGCGTGAATGACAAGGCAGCGACGCGACGGCGGAGAATAGCCGCGGGTACCGCGTCCAGGAGGAGTGGGACCGCGAAGAGATTAAAGGCGGAGTCAGGGAGGGGGAGCGGGAGAAAGACATCCAAGGAGGATTTGGAGATTAAGTACGGGTTCAGTGACGCGGAGGTCGTCGCGGCGCGATTCGCATTGATGGAATGGTACGACGCGAATAAGCGTGACCTGCCGTGGCGAGCGGCCGCAGTGAGCGAGCGGGCGGAGCAGATGGAAGAGGGGAGCAACGATAGCAAGGAGGCGCGGGAGGCAGGGGGGAAGGAGCGCGGGGAGCAGGGTGCGCAGGAGGCGGGGGAGGCGCGGGAGGCGCGGGAGGCGCGGGAGGAGCGGGAGGAGCGGAGGGCGTACGGCGTGTGGGTGAGCGAGGTGATGCTGCAGCAGACGCGCGTGGGTGTGGTGGAGCCCTACTTCCGCCGCTGGCTGGCGCGCTGGCCCTCCCTGCCCTCCCTCGCCTCCGCCTCCCTCGAGGTCCGTCCCCCTCCGCCCGCCGCCCCCCTCCCTCCGCTCCCTCCGTCTCCTTGTCTGTCTTGTGTTCCTGTGGCACCTGCCGTGTGCACTCCACTCACGCCCACTGCCGCCTGCCATGCTACATGCCACCCACTCCCCCACTCCCGTGTGCGTGCGCTCCATTGTTGCGCCTCCTCGTCTCGGCTCCCTTTGCCTGACCCCATCCCCACAGGAGGTGAACAGCATGTGGGCCGGCTTGGGCTACTACCGCCGTGCCAAGTACCTGCTGCAGGTGCACTCACGTCCGGCCTTGCTTCCTTGGATCAAGTACACCACCCAGATAATGCATGCATTCCCAGCCATAGCTGCCAGGCGCACACACATTTGGTCATACATCACGCACACATCCATCCAGCAGCACACTAGGTTGGCCTTGCTACTGCCAGGTGCGTGCGCCCATCTCCCTCTGTCTCTGTCTTTCTCTCGCCTCCCCTCCCACTCGTCCTCCTGCCCCCTGCTCGCCCTCTGGCAGGGAGCGCAGCACATACAGCAGCAGCACGGGGGGCGCATGCCGCGCACGGCCAGGGAGCTGCAGGCAGTGCCGGGCATCGGCCCTTACACCGCCGCTGCCGTCTCCTCCATCGCCTTCCGCCAGGTCTGCTGACTTGCCAAGGGGCAGGGGGCGGGGGGCATTGGGCAGGGGGCTGGGGGGGATGGGTAAGCAGGCAGGGCGAGGGTTTGCGGGGCATTTGGGGTTGCAGCGTTCCTAAGATTGTGTCCTAAGGCATCTGCTGGATCGGATTGATGAGAACAAAGAGACAGATTGGGACGGGGTGTTGAAGCATATGTGTGCCTCGGTGAAGGTTATGGATTCAGGGACGTTGGTGGGTGGGAGCAGTGACCTCTCATCCCTGCGCCACCATCCCGTGCACCTACTCCTCACGCCACTTCTGCACCACCCCTCGCGCGTATGCCTGCATGCAACCACCCCTCGCGCGTATGCCTGCATGCAACCACCCCTCGCGCGTATTCCCAACCCCCCCTCCCCCACCAGCCAGTGGCAGCGGTGGATGGCAATGTGATGCGCATCATGGCGCGCCTGAAAGCCGTGCCACTGCCCATGCATGAGAGCGCCGCCACCTCCCTCTTCTCCCACCTCGCCTCGCAACTGCTGCACCGCGCCCGCCCCGGGGACTTCAACCAGGTGGGCGCACTGGGTGGGCTGGTTGGGCCGCTGTTCAAGCACGCAGGCACGAGTGCCTATGTGTGCCTCGCCATGTCGACCCTGACCCTTTTCCCCATGCTGCACTCATCCTTTCACTCACTCAACCAATCGACCAATGAACGATTCACCCACCACTCACCACCCACTCACGCACGCCCCCAGCTCTTCTTCCACCCCACCAGGCGCTGATGGATCTGGGCTCCCTCGTGTGCGCGCCCTCCTCCCCCTCTTGCTCCTCCTGCCCCCTCTCGCCCCACTGCCGTGCCCTCGCACTGCAGCAGCAGGGGGCATGCAGGGGGGAGGGGAGTGAGGGACGAGAGGGCCAGGGGTTAGTGAGAGTGACGGACTTTCCTGTGCGCAAGGCCAAGGCAGCTCCCAGGGAGGAGTGGGTGGCCGTGTGTGTGGTGGAGAGGAGAGGTGCGGGGGCACCAGCACTAGCAGCATGGCAAGCATCCGAGGCATCAGCAGGTGTCTCGGCCAGAAAAGGCAGGCGCGCACACGGCACCTCCAGCGGCAACCAGGCTAGTAGTGAAGAACCTTCTCAGTACCTTCTGGTGCAGCGCCCGCCTACCGGGCTGCTGGCAGGGCTGTGGGAGTTTCCCTCTCTGGTTGTGGCCTCGGGCACAGGCAGGCCAGCAGAGGCGCAAAGGAGGCGGGCTGTGAAGCAGCTGCTGGGTCAGATGCTTCCTTGTGTGACTATAGAGGGGTCTGGACAGCTTAGCTCGGAGGGGATAATGCTGCAGGAGGGGGAGAATAAAGTGGAGGGGAGCAAGTGGCGGGTGATAGAGAAGCATGACGTGGGCGAGACCTTGCATATCTTCTCCCACATACACCAGCATATGCTCGTCGAGAGAATTGTGATTGTAGAAGGAGAGAAGGCAGGAGATCCGGTTATCTTGGAGTGCAACACAGGAAATGCAGTGGCCAGATTGAAAGGGATGCAAGCTGGTTGCCTGGAGAATAATGAAGATGCATGCTTAGTACCAGCACATCAGCAATGGTGCTGGCGTAGTGCGATGGAAATTGGGAAATTGGGCCTCTCGAGTGGTGTCAGAAAGGTGAGCATGTCATTTTCTCCTCTTCACCGTTCCCCCCTATCTGGTCGCAAAAGAGCCAACTTTTAAGTGTTTACTCTTCTCCCATGTTATCTTCCCTTTTGTGAAGGTGTGGGATATGCTTCAAGCTTTTACGCCATGAGCCTACCCATTGCGTCTTCTAACGCGGCTGCTTAGAACGAGACACTTCCAATAATCTGGCTTCATCATTTCGGGCAGTTTCGAGTGGTTCTCGTTGTGGTCCACGTGTATGATTGATAACCACCATGTAATTCGATATTTTTTTTAATGATGTGCAACTCCCACGATTCGCTTCAACCAATCACGGAAGAACGGGAAATCTTCTCGACAACCAGCGATTCGCTTCAAATTTGTCCCTTTGTCGTGTGGTATACACCCTCTCTCTCGCCAGACTGACATTGGCCATATTGACGGACCGGCTGTACTGACATCAATGCGTCCAGAATGGTCCCAGAACATACCATATAAGCACATTTGCCGTACTCAACCGTACGCAAACGCAAGTTTTCTTCCATAAAACGTTGTGTACCGTTCCTTTGGAGTGCATTTGCCCGCCACCTACCTGGCGTTCGGTTGCAAGCACCAGATCGCTAGGGTCCAAGCAACAGTTCGCTAGCGTCCAAGCAACAGTATGCTTTGTAGCCAGTGCTTCCCATTGTCAGTCTGGCGAGAGAGAGGGTGTAGATGCGAATGCTGCCAGCTGGCGAGCAGTTTGGATAGAGTCCCTTTCAGCCCACACCCTTGCTCTGTGGGTGAAACAAAGAACTGTCGAGCCAAACATGATGAGGGACATGATCACACCCGGCAACAATTTCTGTTTGACAGAGCTTCCGAGCTCCCTCCTACTAAACAAAATTTGTTTGAAAGAATTATCGTATGGGTGCTGGTTCAAAAGATTGTTTTGTTTTTGCTGTTCTGTACCCTTTCCACGATAGGTGTGATTTGGTGGAAGAAAAATGTGGTTATGGAGCAAAGCAGATATTCATCCATCGTACATTTTCAAGGGCTGCCTGCCGCACCGCGCTATGTTGCCTGCCATTCCTGCCAGTCTCCCCCCTGGCCGCATCCCCGCCATTCATCGCATGCACTCCTTCATCCCCCCATTCCCTTCACACAAATCCGCCATCCAGTTGCGAGTGAGGGTGAATGAATGGAGTACTTGGTTGGCTGTCCAGCTGCCCTTTCCGTTTTTCTCTACCACCGTACCCCACCACTTCTCATCCTTCTGAAGATCTATCTTATCTCTGTCGTGACATGAAGCAACCGCGCCGCATCACAGCCTCACTCACTGCCTTCCCAAGCCGATCCAGTATAGAACCCCCCCTCCACCATTAGCAGGTTACTGTACTTTTCTTCCTCGCCACTATCCACTCCATCCGATCCCTTCATCCCTTCCCCTCTGTGTGCTCCCACCAAGGAGTAGTGTCACTGGCTCCTGCCCAGCCAAATCCTCTCTTTTCCACTCGCATCGGCTGTCTGCGCCGATTACCAGCCATTCGCCGTTATTCGCGAACTCCGCCATGGCACCCAGTTTCGGCCGTCCCTGGTTCGCCATTTTTAACACGAATCCCGTGCAGGCCAAAGAAGAGAAGGCCCCGATGCCGCCGTCGATCGATTTTCAGCCGTCGATTCGCGTGAGCCAGTTCGGCGGGAAGAGCCAGCGGCAGCTCGCAGGGGTCTCCAGCAGCCCGCTCGTGCAGGACCACGTCGCCGCCGTCGCAATGCGTGCCCGCCTCGAGATGCGCAAGGGACTGCCGCAGAGCACCGTGCGCCTCCTCGATCCTCCGACGATGTCGCTGTCAAGCTCCGCCCCCCGAACCAGTCTTCCGCCGGCGGCTTCCGCCACACTAACCCCCCCGCTCAGCGCCATCACTGAAGCCGTTTCCGGAAAGTCAAGCGCTACCAGTCAAAATGCTTCCGCCATTTCACCGGAACCTGTTGGGATGAGAAAAAATCCTTCCGCCAACCCTCCGCCGCTAACAATTCCCCCGCTCGCGCCGAGCCTTTCCGCGCCCTTCACCCCCCACGGCTCGACCGCCATGCAGCCGCCCCACACGCCTGGATCGACGGTGGCAGCTCAGGCAACCGCAATCGCGCCAATGACGGCAGAATCAGATCTGGTGGCGGCGCCGCTCAAGGTGGCGGCGCAGTGGAGCCGAGAGGAGTGGCTGCTCGTGGTCCGCGCCGTGGAGGGCGGCGCGACAAGGTGCTTGAAATGCCCGAAGCAGTCCGATTCCATGGCCGCCGCAACACACGGCGCCATCCATCTCATCCAAAGCCTTAAAACGACAACTGCCGCTTCGACGCCAGGTGTGAACCCGGCCTCGAATCCAGGCTCGGCGAAAGGCTCGGGATCCGGTCCGGAGCAGTTTTCATGCCCTGCCGCTCCCGCGGCAGTCGTCCCGAGAGTGGAGATTCCCTCCTCGCCGTCGCGGCGTAATCTGTTCTACACCACGTCATCAGGGTCATCTGATGACACCACATTCGTCGATGATTCCGCCACGCTGGCGAGTCGAACCTCGACCGGCTCCGCGTCGAATTCCGACGACGACAACACCGTCAACGTCGCGACGCGATACGGCAGCTACAGCAGTTTCAACAATAGCAGCATCAAGGGCGCTACGGCAGCTCAGGCGCCGTCCACGTTCATGCTTCCGAGCCCCTCCGGTTGCCCCCGCACGCCCTTCTCGCATCTCACGCCCCCGTCGCCCGCGAACCAGCTAGCCGTCTCTTCCCGCGGCCTGCCGGCCGGCAGCATGATCTTGCCCAGCCGAGCTGACGCGTCGGAGGAGCTCCCAGCGTGTCCGTTCCTCGGCCACTCCGCGCGCTACAGCAGCTACGAGACAAAAGACGCCGGCCGCGCGGCCGAGCCTCCCTCACTGGCAGTCCCGCGGACAATGCCTTTCGGCGCCATGACGACGCGCCGCAGCGCCGACGCGTCTCTCCCAGTGCGATCCGCGACGGCGGGCTCGGTGAGCGCAGCCGGCGCACGCGGAACGCTAAGCGGAGCGAGCATGGGGATGAGCGCGAGCGGCGTGCAGGTGGACGCGATGAACCGCAAGCTGCTGACGGTGATCACCAAAACGCACGAGATCTTCTCGCGCGATCTCACTCCCAACGGCTCGCAGGTCGCCGATTACCTCCTCTCGCAGCTGCTCGAGCTCACGCAGTCCGAGTCGGGCTTCATCGCCAGCGCGCTGAAGCGCGCCGATGGGTCGCTGTACCTCAAGACGCACTCGATCACGAACCTCGCGTGGAACCGCGACCTGCGCGCGTGGTACACGGAAAACGCGCCGAAAGGGCTCGTGTTCGGCAATCTCAAGACCATCTTCGGCCGCGTCGTGACGTCCGCTGACGTGGTCATCAGCAACGACGTGCCCAACGATCCGCGCGCGTCGGGACAAGGCGTGCCGCCCGGGCACCCGGTGATGCGTAGCTTCCTGGGCGTTCCCTTGTTTTCCGGGCCAGACCTGGTGGGAATCTACGCGGTGTCGAACCGGGAAGGGGGCTATAACGAGGGGCTGCTGATGAGCATCCAGCCCGTGACTAAAACGGTGGCGCAGGTTGTGGTGGGCGTGCAGCAGCGGCGCAAGAAGTGGGAGGCGGAGGAGCGACTCAACGACATGCTCGAGGTGAGGGCTCCGCGGAGGTGCTGTGCGCGCATGTGCGGGATGGGAGGGGGAAGGCGGAGGGAGGACAAATAGCCGCTTGATTGTTTGCTCTTGTCCGCATCGTTTCCAGCCAAACAGCCATCCGCTCAACTCAAATCCTGAGTTTTTCCCATCTCCCCACTCCCCTCCCCCACTGATTCAATGACCTACCAGGCGACACAGCATGCAATGGTGGCGGTGTCGGCGGACGGCAAGCTCACGTGCGCCAACCGTGCAGCACGCATGCTCTTTGCCCTGGAGAGCAGCACGGAGGGCGACGGCGATGGGACAGGTGGCAAGCTGCCATTGGGGCTGACTCTTGCGGATGTGTTGGTCAGCATCGATGGCAATGATGACTACATGCAGCGAGGTGGGTTTGCTGCCCATTCCAGCTGTGCAGCACGCCTCTCCCTCTTCTGCCAACGCCCCCCCTCTCTTGCCCCGACACAACCCCCTCTTGCTCTAACACTGTGTGCTCCAAGTGCCCTCCTGTGCCTCTTGTCTGTGACCGCTCATGTACATCCCAATGCCCTTGGCCAATCACTCTGCTTCACCTCATTCCACCCTGTGTTATCAACTGCAGGCCTGGATGCTTTCGCTGAGGAGTCACTTTATGAGTGGTCGGCCGAGGGACGGCAGCACCGGCCGCACGGTGAAGAGGATGAAGGCGCGACCGAAGCAGCTGGTAGCATGGCCTTAAGAATCACCGTGGCACGTGGCTCATCCAGTGACGTGAAATTCGTGGTCACTGCCAGGGAGGCTGATGCAGGGCACGGGAGACACGCAGGGGAGGAGGCTGGTGGTGGCAGAAACGAGTCGCAGCACAGTCGTGAGGGGCATGAGGTGGTGCATGTTGATGAGCAATGTGAGCTTGTGCTGTCAAATGAGGATGGCACCCTCACAATTCTGGCTTGAGCAGGAACTCTTGAATGTTTTTGTAGTTGTGTGCCCACGTTAGTAGTTTAAGAAGATATTATATAGGCTGGATTGGAGTCATGCCCATGTATTAACAAGAGGTATTTGTGAGGAGTCTCCAGCAATCTTGCCATCACATACTGATCTCACTAGCGCCATAATCTATGTCAGAAACGACCTCCAATTACCAAGTGATACCGGGTGTGAGGGTGTCGGCAAATCACCCTTCCCTTGGCGCACTGTGATTGTATTGATGTTGGTGTGAGTCATGCCGCCGTTTCGAGGCTCGCTTGCAATCACAGATTACCCGAGCCTAAGGCGAGCGTGATATTAAAGAAGATGACAAAGCACATGGTTCGATTCGCCCAGCCAGAGATCAAACACGGGGTCGCGCTTGGGTTCCAATAGCGCGAGAACAAGAGGGGCTTGCGTGGCCAATGAGAGCTCTTGAAGCCTTTCAAGACAGGGGCTCGCCTGCCCACCGACTCCGGACAATTCGAACTGCGATCTCATTTTCCCAGTGCGGGTTTGCGAATGCAATCTTTTCGGGCAGAACCACGCGGCTGCCCGTGTTTAGGGTTGGGGCTCCCCTAATCGCATGCCATCCAGATGGGGTTTATTTTACGGGCAGATTACGACCCATCAGCTTCTTCCAGGCTTAATTGTTAGGGATCGCATTTGCGAACCGCGCTGGCTTAATTGGATTGCAGCTGAAGTTGTCCCCACCGACTCCAAAGATCACCGAGGCGCAAATGTTCATTTGCCCACGGTGGCACTTTCACGAGCTGCCTAGTCGTGAGTCTATAGCCTCGAGGCGCGAAAGCAACACCAAAGCAGCGAATCACAGGCATTGATGCCGTCCACACCGAAGCGCCAGGGGCGCTATTCTGTCCCTTGGGCGCTGCTCGGCCCCTTTTCGCCCTAAATTCAGCCCCTCCGTCCAACATTCAAATTCACCGTTGTGTCTTCTAATTGCCATCAGCAAGCTTGGTTGGAGCAAATAGTCCATTTCTTGCGCCCCTCGACATCCATTGCCACCATTTGAAACTTCGCCAGCTCTTACCCGCGATTCTGTGGACGAATCATGTTGTGTTCCATGGCTCGTTTATCTGTCGGTCTTTTTGTCGCCGCCATTCTCGCATGTGCCTGCACGACAGTGAGCGGTGGCGAACGCGAAATTGAGACCCTCAACTCGGAAGTACGACTTGCGTCAGTGGCCCTACGGTACTACGACGAGCGGCTTACAGTTGCATCTGCGGACCTGATCGCCCGTCGAAAGCTGAAGTGAGTATCACTTGCTCATCTAGTTGAATTGTTCCATCCCACCTCGTTTTTGCCCTGTTCATGGCTGGCTAAACTGAATGCGATTCCTTGATTGAATTTACTTGGCAGGTCGCACAAAAATAGCAAGAAGGACAAGAGCGAGGACAAGAGCGACAAGAGCAGCAAGAGCGATAAGAGCAGCAAGAAGAGCAGCAGTAAGAGCGTCAAGAGCGCCAAGAGCGTCGAGAGCAGCAAGAGCGACAAGACCAGCAAGTCAAGCAAGAGCAGCGACACGTCTAGCGGCGGGAGCGGAAAGTCCGTTAAAAACTGCAAGAAGTGCCGTTTGGGTATTGCGGAAGCGGCGGGGGCGGGAAAGCATAAGTCGGGCGTGTGGACGACGAACCCCGTGGACAAGTGCTGGTGGTCCGCGGACTGGAAGACCAACCGCCAGGAGCTCGGCAATTGCGCTCCGGGATTCGCCACAGGCACGACGGGCGGAAAGGGCGGAAAGCTGTACGTCGTGACGACGGAGGCGGACGACCCGGTGAACCCGAAGGAGGGCATGCTGCGATACGGCATCATCCAGGTGCGACGCCATGCGACGCCATTCGACGCCGTGCGTCACCTTCCTCTCATCTGATGCTTGGCCGTCAACGGTGTTGATTCGACAGCCTGATTACTGTTGCTCCGACGCCTTCTCCCGTGACTCCCTCTGAACTCCACCTCTTCCCTCTCTCTCTATTCCCTCTTCACGCCTCCTTTCCCCCGGTGCCGTGCGCGCAGGAGGAGCCGCTGTGGATCGTGTTTGAGCGCGACATGGTGTTCGACAAGCTCAAGGCGGAGATGATGATCGCCAGCGACAAGACCATCGACGCGCGCGGCCGCGCCGTCGTCATTCAGAACGGCCCGTGCGCGCGCGTGGAGCGGGCTACCAACGTGATCATCGAGTCCGTCATTTTCCGCAACTGCACCATGCGCAGGTACGCGCTTGAGTCCCAGGTCGCGCTTGAAGTATTCGCAGCGCGCACCTCACATTGTGTCCCCACGAGCGATCCACACGTACTCTCCGCCCTCGGTGCACCATGCTTCATGCTACTCGCATCACCCCCTTGCGCCTCCGCACTCCAGCGAACTCACCTTTTGCTTCCCCAACCCTTTCCCCTTGCGCTCTCCGCAGCGGCACAATTAAGGTGCGGTCCGCGAGGGGCGTGGAGGTGAAGGATTGGCGCGACGGCAACGCGGTGGAGGTGTGGGGGTCGACCAAGGTGTGGATCGACCACTGCGGGTTCGAGAAGGCGCTCGATACGCAAGTCAACATCGTCGTGGGGTCGACGAACGTGGCGGTTACCAACAACTATTTCGTGAACCAGGACGAAGTGATGCTCATGGGCAACGACGACTCGGAGACGGGAGACGACAACATGCGCGTCACCGTCGGGCTCAACGTGTTCGGCCCCAACTGCAACCAGCGCATGCCCCGGTAAGTGCCAGACCCACCCACTAAACAACACCCTGATTTCCTATATTATTTTTCTCGTTGCTTCAGCATACATCTGCCGACACGGCAAGAAGTGGTGAGTGGATCCTTCTTAAGTGGCTCCTTTTTCTTTCCCCTCCGCCAACAGCGGCCGGCACGGGCAGTTCCACGTGGTCAACAACTACTATCCCAACGGCTGGGGCATCTACGCCATCGGCGGCTCCGCTAACGCGCGCTTCCGCAGCGAGGCGAATTACTTCGTGGCGGGGGACGTGAAGGAGGTGACTAAGCGGCAGGACACGCACGGGTGGGCGGCGAAGCAGATCAGCGACAAGACGTGGACTAAGATCAAGGTGTCGAGCGTGGGCTGGCAGAACTGGCCGTGGCAGTCCATCGGAGATCACTTCGAGAACGGCGCCTTCTTCACCGAGTCGGGCAAAAATGTCTTCGAGCCGCCCTACGTCTTTAATGCCGTGCCCGCTAAGGACGTTCCCGTCGCTACCAACAGGGCCGGGCCGCTGTTCCGGCGGTATCAGAAGCAGATGTGAAGTGGCGAGTTGCAGTGCGCGGGGACGGGGACAAGTGGAATAAAGCGCTGTTGCTTTGTTGAGTTGCGACGCCTAGCGGCGGGAGCCATGCTTTGGCTACGGACGAACGGAGGTCTCCGATACAGCACCAGAGAAAAGCAGTCTATAGTAGGGATGCTTCACATGCGGCGCTATCACTCGTTAGGAGGTAGTTTATGTATATGGCTTGATTGCATTGCGGTGGTAGTTTATATGGCTCGTAGGATGTTAGGCAGTTCGCTCATACCAGCTACCATAGAGCGTTGTTACTTCGTGGAACTGTGACACTTGGTAGCCAATCTAGGACCTTTGCGCATTGCTTATGTAGTGGTTTTGTCATGCTTCATAAGATCCCTTCCATTTCTTAAGCTCTATTACAAGGGAAATGGATGTGCACAATACCAACTGTAGTTGGTTGGATTGGAAGTATGTCCACATGCTCCATCATTTCATGCAAAAGCATGTGACTTTCCAACCTGAACTGACCAACTCATTTTAAGATAACAAGCAACTTTTCAATGGCGAATCTTCCTAATCACATTTCTCTACGCAACTTGCTCAGATAACAAGCAACATTTCTCTATGTCAATCTTGCACTGTCTTCTGCACCAGCATCAGCTGCACCAAATTCCCTTTCACAGCTGTAGGCTCTGCAGTGCCACCTTCGCAGCCAGTGCCGCCCGGCTCTGCTCCGCATACTGCCGAGCCAGTGCCGCCCGCTTCATGGTGTCGGTCTCCTCCATGGCTGCCAGGCGCTTCTGCAGCAGCCCATGCAGCTCCGCCGCTGACGCTCCTGTGGGGGTTGGGGGTGGGGGGAGGGAGCGAAACTGAGAGATGAGGGCCACAGGCAGAGAGATACAGTCCGTCATCACATCACTAGTCGGTCAGACAGACAGCCATGTTGGCATCAGAGGGCGGCATGAGCTGAGTGAAGACAGGCAGTGCTCGGTACAGCACAGCACAGGTGAGTGAAGACAGGCAGTGCTCGGTACAGCACAGCACAGGTGAGTGAAGACAGGCAGTGCTCGGTACAGCACAGCACGCACGGCATGGTGTGCCCATGGTATAGGGAGGCAGGGCACGGCATGGCGCGGCATGGAGTGGAACCGCATGGCGTGGCATGGGCAAGGCATGGCATGGTAGGCATGTGTTACCTGCAACTGGTTGCAGGGCAGCAAAGGTGACGAGCTCCTCATATGATGGCAGGTACTCCCGGTAGGGAGGCACCTCTGGAGCTTTCACCGAATCAGCACCTTCCAACGTCCCCCTGCCCTCCCCAACACTACCTGCCTTCTCATTCTCAGCCCCACCCTCACTCTCACTGCTGCTGCTGCTGTTGCTGCTGGAGCCACTGGAGGTGCTGCTGCGAGCAGGGTTACCAAAGTCAGGGTCGAGGGGCACAGAGGCGGGATCAACGGCCACTGTGCTCTGGATGGCCGGTGTCGGCAGCCCCTGGAAGCCCAGAAACCGGGCAGCAGACTCCAGCTGTTCGGGCGGCAACTGGTCGGGCTCCACGCCATTGTCATCGGGCAGAATGGACCATGCAGATGGCGATGCCTCTGTGCTGCCACTGCCGCTGCTGCTGCTCGTTGCATCACCTGCATCTGCACCTGCGCTTGTGTCTGCTCCTGTGCGTAGTGCATCACCAACTGTCTGGGGCGGGGTGGCGGCGGGCTGTTGGGTTGCAGCGGTGGCGGCGGTGGCAGGGGCGCCAGGTGCTGTCGGTGCTGCTGGTGGCGCAGCAGCAGCAGAGGCGGCAGTGACGGTGTCCACCCAGCGCAGAGCCCTCTCCAGAGGCGTCTGTAGGGGCACGTCTGAGGTGGTCTGCAGGCAGGGTGGAAGGATGGAGGGCGAGGTTACGCAGTGCTTCACGCTCGCAGTGGTGCCTCATCACCGTGCATCCCTTCTAGACCATGACCTCGACTCGAATTTCCAGTCCAAGGGAACTCACTCGTCCTCACACATTCACCCTCCCATGCGCCCTACCTTGATCTTGATCTGCAGCTCCTGCACGTCCCTGAGCACCGCTCTCAACTCCTCCACAGCCCCCTTCACCTCCTCACCCGTGCCACCCGCCCCTGCCCCTTCCTGAGGGCGGTCATCAGAGACAACAGCGACCTGGCCGCGCAGGAAGGGCTCCACCTGCGTGAGCTGCTGCAGGCGGATGCGCCCCACTCCCCTCACCGCCACCAGCGCTCCCACCTGCAGCTTGCGCACCTGTGAAGGGGAGGGCGGAATGGGGACGGGGGAGGGTGGGGAAAGGGCGGAAGAAGGACATGGTTAGAAAGGAGGTGCTGTGGGGGACGATGAGCAGGAGGGGGAGCAGAGAAGGCAGACGCAAGAGAGTGGAGGCAGGAGGTGGAAAGGAGGTGGCGAGAGGCGTAGGCAGGCGGCGGGAGGGGAGGGAGCGCACGCTTTCAACGTAGGAGAGGCAGCCGTAGGAGGCGACGAAGGTCATGCCCTGGCCGTCCTCTGTCCGCATGGGCTCCAACACCACGTGCCCCAGCAGCCCACTGCTGCGTGTCAGCACCTGCATCGGGTGTGCACGGGATACATGGGGTGCATGGGGTGCATGGGGTGTGCATGGGGTGCATGGGGTGCATGGGGTGCATGGGGTGTGAATGGGGTGCATGGGGTGTGCACGGGATGCATGGGGTGCATGGGGTGCATGGGGTGTGCATGGGGTGCATGGGGTGCATGGGGTGTGAATGGGGTGCATGGGGTGTGCACGGGATGCATGGGGTGCATGGGGTGCATGGGGTGTGCATGGGGTGCATGGGGTGCATGGGGTGTGAATGGGGTGCATGGGGTGTGCATGGGGTGCATGGGGTGTGCATGGGGTGCGTGGGATGCATGGGGTGCATGGGGTGTGCATGGGGTGCATGGGGTGTGCATGGGGTGCATGGGGTGTGCATGGGGTGCATGGGGTGTGCATGGGGCGCATGGGGTGTGTAGGGTGTGTGGGGTGCATGGGGTGCACGGGGTGCACAGGGTGCATGGGGTGCATGGGATGCAGGTAACATGGTTGAGCAAAGGACTGGAAAGATGATATGATACGATGCTCTGTTTTGCTGGGAGAGATGGCTGGGTACTATATGAGCTCTCCAAAGGACTGTTCGCTAGTGCACTGCCCGTTACAGGCACGCATATCCAATGGCATTCCCCACATACACCCAGCGCACGGCCCTTCCCATGTGCCCCCTCCGGAGCACTCCCCAGTGCAGGTGCGCCCGGTGCAGTGTTCCCCGCGGCAGGGGCGACGCACCTCCTCGAGCAGCGCGAGGTAGCGCGCCTCGTACAGATGCAGTGTCTTGGATGACCCGGGCAGGAACACCTGCCGCCATACGTGCACACGCGCAGGGGACGCATAGGAAACGGACAATGTGGGTCACTGGTGGAGCTCTGCAGGGTCACGAATGGACGAGCCAGTTGATACCGCCATTGTGCAATGTGCCTGAGCTCTGCAATGTGCCTGAGCTCTGCAATGTGCCTGAGCTCTGCAATGTGCCTGAGCTCTGCAATGTGACCTGTGCAAGAACCACATTTCCTTGACTTGCACATTGGCCCTCTTCATTCCCCCGTTCAACCCCCTTGGCTCTCCCCTTGACCCTGCTGACTCGCCTGTTGACTTGCTTGACTCACCTCGGCGGGGTTGAAAGGCAAGCACGGCAGCTCCATCACAATCCCCTCCTCGCTGCTGGCGGCGCCACCGTCTCTGCTGCCTGCATGCGCACATGTGGCAAGGCGGGGCGATGCGACACCGAAGAGTGGAAACAGAGACACGATCGCAGGGTGTGAGAACGATACATTGACTCATGGCTGGCCGGAACGAGAAATGGTCGGAGGGAGGCGAAAAAGCCAGCGCACGGAGAGTAAGGAGATCCGGGAGTGAGGTGAATGGAGCGACGTCACGTGAAAGGAATGCGAGCAGGAAGCACCTTACTCGGCTTAACGGAGAATTCGCTATCGCGTTGGTCGGCGGCCATCACGGAGACTCGTCGGACTCGTCGGAATCGACCTGGCTGCTGCAGACGTGTCAACCGATGCATTGGCAATTGTGAAAGTGAGGAGAAGGGAGCGCAGCGTTGAAGCAATGCGCCGGGAGAAGAGAGCCGAGAGAGCGCGGCTTGCGGCGACGGTATCCGGCGTCTGTCCTGAAAGGAACCCGCGAGAGAACCACCATGTTGTCGGCTTCTAGACACTGACGCGGCTGGCGACAGGCACGAGCGTGTGTGGACGCTGCTGCAGCGAATGAGATCCATGGCGATCGCGATCGCAACGGCCTTCTCTTCCGCGTGCCACGCAAATGACGCTTTCTGAAAGGATCAGCAAATAGACAATATTAAACCGAGCAGACAGTGATGCAAAGGAGGACGCTATTGTGGTGCATGCACGCTAGTGAGAACTACAGGAGATCACAGAGAATAACCAGCCGTGCAGGCGAGAGGCAGAAAATGAATTTCAGAAGTGGCTGGGGAGGAAACAGGTTTGCCTGACTGGCTTTGACTGCTGAATGCAGTTTTGGCGGGAAAGGGGAAGTTGCTCTCGTGGCTGCTTCTGGATGAAACGTGATTCACGCTGATTGGCTGCACGAGAAATAGCGTTCGTGTATCCTCGTCATAATAAATGGACGGAGCAACTCGATTCAAATAACAATAATCTTAACTCTGCTCAAGCCTAGATTTGCAAGTTGCATCTTGCCAGCACTAGTAAAAAAACCAAATACGTGATAACTACAGCTCATCCTTCCTCTCATCATCATCCTCCTCCTCATCCTCAGCATTGGCAATCTCCTCCGCCTCGGCCAATTCCTCCGCGGTCGGAGGAGCAGAAGCGGCTTTCTTGGCTCCCTTGTGCTTCCGGACGAAGGCGAGGAGGCTGGCCTTGGAGTTGTCGCCAGCATAGGGCACGGCAACACCAGCGGATGTGTAGAGGTAGATGGTTGGCAGCGCCTTCACATCGAACTTATCCGATGGAATGTCATTGGCGGAGAAATCCTGCACACATGGGGCATGCCGGACATGCAGAGAAGGCGGCACACTTTGACATCATGCCACTGGGATGCAAAGCTATGCCAACCCAGACGCATCTTGTGCATGCCAAATTATCTCATCCCATCATGCATGCGGACCAAATGTCTTTCCCAAACATCTGCATGCATGCAAACAGCCAATCGCCATCATAGCACCCTCATTGCATGCAAGCACACCATGCGACCCACTGACCATCTTGGCGACAACAACGTCCCTCTGACCGGAGAGGCTCTCTGCCACGTCCTTGAGCACGGGGTCCAGGTCAGCACAGGCTGTGCACCAGGGGGCGTGGAACTCCACCAGCACTGATGTTGGGATGATGGAGGGGAGAAAGGGGTCCGAGGGAAAAAGGTGAGGGAGAGGAGAAGGGGTGTCTCTGCCACGTCCTTGGGCAACGGGGTCCTAACGCTGGTTCGCTGGGCGGGGAGGAGTGGAAGCAGTCACGGGAGGAGAAACTGCAAGACAGGGTGTGCAGACGTGCATGCACGCACATGCGAGACAACACAATCGAAGTCGGACAGGCTCTAGATGTGACTGGAACAGTGGCAGCAAGGCAAAGAACCTAGAACAAACAGCACACGTGCAGCAGCATGGCAGCGAGAGCACGAGCGCATGGGCACGGAGGCGTGAGGAAGGCGGCACCATTCTTGCGGGAGTTGAGCACGATCTCCTTGAAGCTGTTGGCCACGACCTTCTTCACCGCCCCCGCGTCCCCCTGCGGCACCGCCTCACTCTTCAGCACCCTCTCCGCCCTCCCCGCCTGCTCCCAAAGGAGCCAGGGAGGGGTGAAGGGGAGCGCCGGGATAAGGTGGGTTGGAGGAAGGTGGAGGCACAGGTGGCATAGAAAATACAGAGGTTGTGGTATAGGAAAAGATAAGGAGGCAGAAGTGGGGGAGGGCAGCCGTATGAAAAGCGGATCTAAAAGAAAACAGGCTCAATGGAAAATGGAGCAGAGCAAGGGGGACCTGAGGGAGGGTAGCACTAGGAGAGGGCGCACCTGGAAGTCGGCAAGGAAGGGGGCGATGTCAGAAGGAGCGATGTGCGTGCGGATGAACTTGGCATCGTAGCGCGGGTCGTGAATCACCATGGCTGGCGTGTCACTCACTGCCAGCCCAAAGTACTGCCGGGAAGCACATGGGGCCGAGGGGTTTGGGGGCAGTGTACAGGAAGGGCTTCATTGGAAAGAGTCGTGGGGAATATTACGGGAAGTTGCTAGCTGCGAGCTGAGAGAAAAAATTATCACTTAAAATATACTTGTTGGAACCAACCCGTGTGTGCCAGTGTGGGTTTGGTGTGAGGGATTGAGGCCATGGCAGTCCCTCCCTTCCCCCCTTGCCCGCACCTTGAGAGCATGCTCGTTGGCAGCAGCCTCCCCGATGACGAGGCGGATGGAGTCGGGCTGCTCCTGTGCCGCCTCCACGTACCGGCTGCGGAACTCTGGTGCATCCGGCAGGCTGTATGTCAGGAATAGCAGCGACTGCAGGGGTGGGAGGGAGGGACGTGGGGAGATGGAGAGGTGGGGAGGGAGGGCCGCAGGCGAGGGATGGTGATGCACTGCCTGCAGGGCTCAACTTCTCAGTTGGTGAAGGCATTTTGCACAAGAGCAGCGACTGCACGATGGTAGCACGAGCGCACAACGACTTCCGTATATAGTTGTGGTGCAGGGAGAGAGGGCGAGCAGCCGAGGGGGAAGCATGGGTGAGCCACAGGCAAAAGAAGCAGAAGCAGCAGCAACAACAGCTAGAGAGAAGGAAGGCCAGAGGGGTGAGGAAGGAAAGAGGCAGATGGCAGACCTTGTTGGTGGGCGCCTGGAAGACGCGGGCGAGGTAGGGGCGGTCCTTGGGGTCCTGGCTGAACTCCACCACGCGCGGCACCGCCTGCCGCTCTATGAACGCCCTCAGCGCTGCCGGTGAGAACTCCTGCTCACCAACGGGGAGGGCAGGGGGGCAGGGAGAATCAGGGGGACAGGGGCCAGGGGTGTTCATACCCACGTTACGTGCGTGTCGGTTACCCTTCCTGCTCCAACACCTTGGGCAGGCGCGCAGCTGAAAGGGAGGGGGAGGGAGGGGTGGAGGGCCACGTGGGGATCCAGTGACTCACGAGCCCTGGCCAGTGGCATGGAGGACAGCTGTGCTGCGCATGCCCTATCCACTGCAGCAGCGAGCTCACCTTTGCATCAGAGAAGCTACAATGGACGTTGCAGCAGCGGGATGTGGAGGGGCAGGGGCACCCCTCATCAAACTGCTTCAGCAGGCGCACGGCAGGTGCCTCCAGCTGAGTCCCCTTGGATCCTGCAGCGCCATGTGATAGAAGATATGGTTCAATACGTCTCAAGGCTCACCTCTGTGTCGGAGTACCCCTCATCGAACTGCTTCAGCAGGCGCACGGCGGGTGCCTCGAGCTGGGGCCCCTTGGCGGGCAGCAGCGAGGCGTCGGTGGTGTGCTTGAAGACAAAGTCCGTTCGCAGCTCCCTTGCCACTGACAGGAACGACTCAAACTCGGGCGATGAGAGCGTTGCAAACAGCCCCACCTGGCGTGCAGGAGGGGGGGAAAAGGGGTGGATGCAGATGGCGTAGGAGAAATGAGGGGTTGGAAGGGGAGGAAGGGGTGGAATGAAGGGCGGAGGATAAGGGCCAGGCCAGGGAGATGGTTGGCAGGGGAATGGCGGCATGGAGAGGTTAAGTTGAGCAGGGTGGAAACAAGAGGTGCAGGAACAAGCAGGGTACGGGGAGAGAGAAGGGGGCACACAGGGCAGTGGCAGCGACTCACCACAACGACGCTGTCGTCCTCCATGGCGCGCTTGAGGTCCGACCCCGACCGCACCTTGGTGCTGGCGGGCCCCGCCTGCTTCTTCAGATACGCCACCAGCCCTGCTGCTTCCCTCGGACCCTTGTACGTCAGCGGCGATGCATAGTCCCTGGTGGGGGGGGGGGAGGGAGAGGGGGTGGGGGGATGGGGAGAGGCGGGTTGGAGAGAGGTGGGGAGTGGGAAAGTGTTTTTTGAAACACGTCAACAGGGTGGGGCGTGGGGGGAGGAGACGGAGGGAGGGATAAAGAAGCGGGAGGAGGGAGAAATGGATGGAGACTATGAGCAACTCACAGTCGTGCATATGCGTGAAATACTCATTAGAAAAAGCATTGTATCACAGCAGGCGCCATATACACAGGAGCAAGCGACTCACGTGCGGAAGATCTTGATGGTGGGGAAGCCCCCCACGCCGTACTTCCTGGCGAGGCCCTTGTGCTTCTTCTCATCGCCGTTGATGCGCGCCAGCACTATCTCCGACCCCTCCTCTGCCAACATCTCTGCCGCCTTGACATACTGCCCAGCACGGCACATAGGGAATGTCGAGCACATGCCACGTGGCACAATGTGACGCGTGCAGGCGGCCAGTTTTGTGCAATGGGATGACAGGAGTGCGGCTTATGGTGTGTCAAGGTGCAAGCACGGTGGAGCGCGGTATGCATTGGAGCTAGCTGCACTGAACGCGGAAAGCTGTTAAGCGCCATTGTCGTGACACTGTTGTAGCCTTCCTTCAGTCGCTCTCCTACCACCCAACCTCTTCCTTCTCTCCGTCATTGTCTCGCAATCTCCCTCCTATCCCGTCTCCACATCTCCCTCGCGCGCTTACCTCTGGCTCTAGTCGTTTGCAGTGACCGCACCTGACGACGCAAGAAGGCGAGGCGGTGGGGAACGAGGGTAAGGAAGGGGAATGGGGGTCACGGCGTGGGGAATGGTGAAATGTTTGGCGAGGAGGGTCGAGGTCGATTCAACGGGGAGAAACGAAAGATGCGTTGGGGATGAATGAGAGCAGCGCAGCGATGCAGTTGGAGCACAATGTTGCGACGATATTCGGGTGACATATGGAACTGGCAGAGTATGCGAGTGCCATTACGAAATGCAATGCCGGAAAGATGTGCCACCGCGTGGACAAGGAACGCGAGCGCGATCGAGCATCGGGAGAGAGGGACCGCGCGTACCAGGGAGCGTAGAACATAACGGCGATAAAGTCGTGACTCTTAACCTCCGACTCGAAATTCGTGAAGTCGAGCGTCAGCACCTTGCCATCATCATCCGCTGCAACGCACGACAGGCTGACTACGGCTAGGACCGCGAGCAACGCCAGCGCAGCGCGCGTGCCAGCCATGGTGAGAAATGCAGCCTACAACCTTGTCTAAGAGACAAACCTTAGCACCAGAGGAGGAACCTAAGAACATTACCAAGGCGAGACTAGCAAATTTGTGCAGTCCAGTCAAGACAGATTGGTATTTCCGACCGTGGTAATTTGGTCGAGGTGGGGTGGGAAAGATAACTTGATCATCCCAAGGTCACTGGCGAGAGTCGCGTAGATGAAACAATTGCGGACTACATGTTTGTTGTACCGGCTAAGCTTACAATAACGTGGCTACGTGGCTACTAAAAATAACCATACACATATACAAAACCGCTACAATAGCCTACAGCTAGTGGATATGCTACAGCAACCCTCCACGAAATCCCTTGGCCCAAACCTGAGCCAGGATGAAGGCAACTAGCCACAACAACCCTAGACATGTAGCATGAACCTGCATTTGTAGAATATTTTTTGGTAAAATCACATAGAAATGTGTGATTGTTCCTTTTACGAGGACTGAAGGGCCTGCTGCAGGACAGCTTGCTGCTCCGGGGGCAGAGCACCCACGATCTCCGCAGGTAGGCTCCGCAGCAGCGTCACGGCTCGCTTGTTCGTCTCCTCTGTTGCCAAATCCGTGCCAGCCTTGAGCACCTGGAGGAAACAGATTAAGAGGCATGAGGTACTCCGTTCAGAAACCATCGTATTTGAGGTTATGAAAGTACGGCATGTGTGGCAAACACCAGCATGGGCACAACAGATCAGCGGCGACATGGCAGTGAGTGCATACGTATTCAGAAGCCACGTTGTGCAGGCACATACCTCTAGCAGCACTCCGACAATGTGGGGCAGGTTCTGGTTGTTGGGGCCCAAAATACGAGTGTCCGACCTGACCAGTGGAGGGAACGGAGTGGAAGAGAAGATCGGGGGGGGAGAAAGCAGGGTGTCAGACAAAGAAGGGAGGAAGTCAGGAAAAACAAAAATAGCACGTAGTCTTTATCATGGATTTTGGGTGGCAGAGGGAGCGCATGCATGGGCAGCAACACACCTTTCCAGCAGGCCGCAGAGCTGGGCGTGTGCAACCTTGGCCTCGGCACGGTCCTCGCGGATGGGCAGGTAGGCCAGCCACACGGACAGCACGTGCGCCGAGTCAAAGGGCGCGTGCGCTTGGTGCTCACACAGCCGCCCCAGCGCTGATATCGCGTTGTCCGTTGCTGACACGCTCAGCTCGCTCTTGCTGTCCCCACTGCTCACCACCTGCCCCAGCCGTGCCACCGTGTCTGCACTTGCATGGCAGACAGGGAAGGAGATGTGATGGGGTGCACACCAAGAGGTAAAGAGAAGATGATGCATTAATAAGAGTGCTTCAAACAGCAGGGAATGCGGATAACTGAGGCCAAGGGAGTGGAAGTGGAGGAATGGAGAGTGCAAACGCCGGACGCTAAGAGACGTTAGCAGGAGGGTGGGGGAGGGAGAGGGAGCACACCTGGCACGTATGGAGTGAAAGCAGCGCCACCATTTTGTGCGCAGATGCCGATGCCATATGCTGCTGACTGCACACACACACACGGGTGCAGGAGGGGCAGGAGAGCGTGTGAGGGTGTGGAACAGCACAAGGAAACACAACGCAGCAACAGCAAAAAATGGTGAGCGTCCTCCAGCTGGGAGGGGCGGGCGTTACCTGTCGGATCTCGGGCAAGGGGTCGAGCACGGCCTCCAGGATGTGCGGCAGGAAGGCCGGGAAGTAGCTGGTTGGGGGCAAGAGGGCGAGGGGATAAGTAGGGAGTGAAACAAGGTATAAGGAAAGGGAATTGTGCCACACATAGCACACCACAGGGAAGGTGGCACACATAGCACATACACGCCACAGGGCCTGGCAACGTGGCAGAGCATGGGATGGGAACAACAGGGAGGACAAGCGAAGGGGCAGCACCTGGCAGCAGCATCGCCCATGTTCTCTGCCAGGTCGTCAAAGATACAGATGCCCACCCTCCTCTCCGTGGCCGGCCGACTCTTGTCCTGCACTCGTGGAGAAGGAAAGGGAGGGCAGAGGAGCAGAGCCGAATGCAGTGTTAAGTTTATTCTGCTAGAAAAAGAGAGCATTTGAGCTAGAATGAATGGGAGCATGGAAGTTAGATGAGAGCAGATAGGTGTTTGCAATGTTTGCCCCAAGGTTTGGAGAGGCAGCACTGACCATCATTTGAAGCACAAAGGGAGCGAGGTCGTCCGCGAATGGCTTGAAGCTGCCCTTGAACACCCTCACCAGCTCTCCTATGCAGTCTCCCACCTGCCACACAGCAGACAGCAGCACAGTAACGCAGATATCATCAGGTGCTCCATCGGATCTTGGTTGATCCACGACAATTACTTGAGGGACAATGTCAGTCCTTCTCCACCCATCTTCGCCACTTATCACCCTCCCCCCCTTTCAAATTCGACTCCCTTAGTTCCCTCCGATCCCTCTCTGGACTGTACACGTTAGCCCCAGCTTCTCTTCCCCCATTGGGCCTTGTGCCAACTGAACTGCCCTCCTTGTCCTCTTCTCTTCTCCATCAGATCCCCATTCACATGCACTCCACTCCCTCCCTCATGCATTCAAACCCCATCTCATTGACTCCTCTCACCCCCCCCTTTCCCAGTGATATCCCGTCCCACACCCTCCTCACCACGCCCAGCAGCACCACAGCAGCGACTGAGGGATCTGGTCGAGCACCTCGTCCTCCTGCTCGCTCTCCTCTGTCTGCATGCGCTCCAGCTGCTCCCTCTTCCCCCCCTGCCCCTCTCCCTTCTGTATCCCTCTCCCTTCTACCATCCACAGCACCGCGACAAGAGAACGCACCTGATCAAGCACCTCGTCTTCCTGTTCGTTCTCCTCCTGCAGCAGCTCGCTCTCCTCCTCATCAAAGTCCTCTGTCTGGGTGCGCTCCAGCCGCTCCTTGCGCCGCCCCCGGCTGCCCTCCACCACGGCCTTCAGCTGCGCCACCACCTGCGTCACCTGCTCCGCACTCAGCTCCACCCCTCCCAACTGGAGTGACGAGAGAACAGGAGAGGAGAAGAAGAAAGGAGAACAAGGGGAGAGGGGGGAGGAGGAGGGCAAGGCGGGGAAGAGAGAAGAGGGGATTGGGTTAGCTGGGTGGAGAAACAAGCAGTATGCCAACCAGTATTTGTGACCGCATGCCTGATGCTGGAAACACATGAAACCATGTTGAAAACGCCTGATTCCATGCCCGAAACCCCTGAGTTCATGATAAATTCTCGATTTCAAGTTTGAAAATGTCTTAACTCGTGTTGAAAACTCCTGGACTCGTGCTAGAAAAACCTGGATCTTATGTTAGGGAAGTCCTGGGCTCACCTGAATGCATTCTTGCAGAGACTCGAGCATGACCACTATCATCTCCACCTCTGGCTCCTGGCAGTTTGGGGGGGGGGGGGGGGGAGTGCAGAGGCATGGAGCAAGAAGCAGGGGGTGTGAACAACATGATGAGAAGAGGATAATTCTGTCCACATCGCGCCATGTTTGGTAGATGGCGGAAGCTCCTGCTTCAACCAAGCTGATTCTGTACAGATAGCAAGCACCCACCGAGGTGAGCACACACCGAGGTGAGCACCCACCGAGGTGAGCACCCACCGAGGTGAGCACCCACCGAGGTGAGCACCCACCGAGGTGAGCACCCACCGAGGTGAGCACCCACCGAGGTGAGCACCCACCAAGGTGAGCACCCACCGAGGTGAGCACCCCCACCAGGCATCACCCCCACCAGGCATCACCCCCACCAGGCATCACCCCCACCAGGCATCACCCACCTTGGTAAGAACCTCCACAAGAGGAGGCACAAGGAAGTCGACCATCTGCTTGAGGTAGCGCTTCTCTCCCTCCGCTGTCGCCGTCACCGCTGGCGCCATGCCCTTCTCCACCGCCAGCTTGCCGTCCAGCAGCAGCTCCGGGATGGCTGTGCACGTGGGAAAGAAGAGGGGAGGGGAAGGGTGGTGTGAGGTGCGGGGAGAGGGGGGGCATGCAATGTGCCACGCCCTTCTCCACCGCCAGCTTGCCATCCAGCAGCAGCAGAGGCGTGGAGAGGTGTGGGGAGAGGTGTGGGGAGGGGTATGCGGATGTGGGGGGAGCGGTGGGGAGAGGCTGGACTCAACCCATGGGATCGAGCACAGAGGATGGTGCAAGGGGACCGGAGGAGGCGCGGGGGCGGAGGGGGCTTACACTGGGCGGCGGCCTTGCGGACCTCCTCGTGGAAGTAGAACTTGAGCAGCGGCACCATCAGCTGCGCCACCTGTGGTGAAGCACAGCACCACATTGCACGGCACAGGGGCGTCGAGGTACATGAGCACGCGCACAGGCACACACACGCACACATAAGGGAGGGAAGGGGGTGGGCGAATGAGCTAAATGTGATGCACGTGGTGTGGGAGACTGAAAGGGGTTGAGTTGGTGGAAGATGATGGATTTTGCAATTCAACTCTTGAAGATGATGGATTTTGCAATTCAACTCTTCAATTCAACTCTTGAAGATGATGGATTTTGCAATTCAACGATTCAATTCAACTCTTGAAGATGATGGATTTTGCTCGTGCATGGAGTGCGTTCACCTCTTCAATTCATTTGTTTCGTCAACGAGGCTGCCACCCTTCCCTCCCCCATCCCCTTTGCCCGTACCTGGTCGATCCAGGGGAAGAAGCCCTCCTTGAGCTCGTCGGCGTAGCAGCAGAGCATGTTGCACGCCGTGGCCTTCTCCTCCAGCATGCTCGTGCGGATGCCGATCTTCTTGTCGCCTATCGTTATCGTCTCCACACTGGCGCGAGGCGACAGGGAGTGCATGTGCGGGTGAATGTGGGTGCGACGGGGAGGGGGTTGTGAGAGATGGTGAGGGCATGCTCGTGCAAGTGCCAATCTTCTTGTCACCTATCATTAGCGTCTCCACGCTGCCGTGGGGAACAGGATGTGAGAGGGCATGTGGGCTCACATGGGAAGAGGGTAGAAAGATCTGAGGGCACGCGAACAGAATACACAATAAATTAACAACAGG